TTTATTTTGTATTTTCCAAAACTGTTCCAACCCTCTCAAGTTTTCCATCAACACAAACGTGTTGTATTTATGAGGCTAACCTCATCGCTCTGTGTGTGGTCTGTGTTGTAGCCTCTAATCCCATTTCTCTCTGTTGTTGTTTTGTGAGGGTGGTGGTAATGCGTCACCGGGGGCATATTGCAACTATTATCATTGATTAACACTCCCTCTTCCATATCTCAATAAGCTGCATTGGTCACATCAACTCCCTGACCACAAAGCTGTGCTGCATGGATCACTGTGGACATTTAGCCCCACCAGGGAGATATAGATGTAACCAATATCAGTGTGTGTGAATGTTTAGATACAGAAATGTGAACCCCTGCAACAAAAAATGAAACATACGACTGCATAGAGCTCTGATATGCTGTTCGCCCTTTTCAAAAACATAAATGCAAAATTGATTATGAATTGAGTACCAAAAAGTGGATTAACCGTAAAAAGAATTTTATATCATTAGCTTAATGCTAGCAAGAGTACCACAGATATAGTAAATTTATGATAGTAATAGTTGTTCACCGACTTTTAAGAAATTTTCAGTTTGCATGCTTTGTGAACTGATCTGTACCTACTCAGCTTCTGACTCATTTATAAATGTTTAATCTCATATTCAACCCATATTCGAGCACACAGTAGACAAAGAGACCAACCGCTGGGCCCGGCCCTCTGAGTCTCCGCTGCTCTCCGTCCAAACAAAGCTTCATTCACAGCGTGTGTGAGGAGAAAGGGCTTTCATCTCTGTGTATGTTTAGACAGAAGTCATTGGAACGCAGTGTAGAGAATAGAGCAGCGTCACACCAGAAAAGCCATCAGAACCAAGGCTCACGCCATAACATCACACCACATAGCCCCACACACCCCCAGGGACCCTCACCAAATAAAGGTGAAACATTCCTGTCTCATGCCTTCCCTTAGATCTTTGGTGCATGCCAAGGGGGTCCCAGATTGGGAACCGATTGATTATAACAAAAAAGCAGCAGATTTGCCCTTTAAAAATTCAGGGCTTGATAAACATTATTATTATTATTATTATTATTATTATTATGCAAGCTGTTGAGCTTCAAAAGCATTGATGTACCATGTTTTGTTTGTCTCTAACCCTTCAGCAACAGCCAGGGTTTCTTCACCTTTCCTTCTGTATCACTCTTCACCCGTCACACAAACCCACATGTGTATTCACAACACCTCACCGCCTGCATCATCTCTTCCCCTATAAAGGATGGGATGCAGCCCCACCCTGCATTCTTTACACATTGGTTCATTGTTTGTTTAAATCCCACACAGTGACAAAGGCAAGGAGTGTGGATGAGATTTAGAAGGGGGGGTGGGGGGGGGGGGGGGCGATCAGGGTGGGACATGTTATTACAATTTATCCTCCATCAGACTGTACGGTAGCAGTGGGATTATTGTTTCCCTGTTTGGCCTGGAGTTTGGTAAGACTGATCTCACCAGGAGAAACACAACCCCCCCCCCTCCACCACCACCACCCCCCATAATAATACAAAACACAATGTCGGCTAACGTTACAAGAAGGCAGGGGAAGTTCAACTGGCAGCAGGAGTGGGAAAAACAAGGCTCGCTTTGCTGGAGAGTTGGCAATACAACAACAGGACTTCGTATTGTATTTTTAAAGAAAGTTGGATTGGTAGTATTTGGCTTCAGTTGAAACACTTGTAAAAAGAAGTTATGATAAGTTTATATTTTGTGATACGTCGCTTACAAATTGGTAATCTAATGGCATGAAGAAAAGAAAATACTGAACTAAATACTTAATCTATAATGTGCTACGATTTAAACCATTTACTGGATACTTATACAGTCAGTTTGCGTTTCTTAAGAAGGATGTTAAAAGTTGTTTTAATGGACAGAAAATAATGGTACTACTGTACATGTAAATGGCTGTCACAGGGGAATATTCCAAAATATATTATACTCATAAAGTCTTTAATTGATACTCTTTGAGAGTACGACTTTGAGTATTAAAGTTACTGTTTTCCACAGTTCCATGTACTGCTCTGCAAAGCTTAGCTTCTGCGTGCCTGCTTCACCAAACAGGGTCCCTGCTGGCTGTTATCTGTTGTACACTCACTATCAAAAAGAACCTCATGCTACAAAAACGTCTGGACTATCCTATACGGATGTTTGGGTTTAGTGAGATATTAAGTATCTCCTCCAGGTCTGAATCTTTGTTGACATGGCAGGTCAGTGATAAGAAATGTTAAAGATGGTATCACAGCACGGAAAAAAAGACCATGGCACAGAGAGGGATACTCTCGGAAAAGTGGTTGCTCTCAGGTCTGGTTGCTTGTGTAGTATTTTCCGTAGTTTCTGAATATGCAAGCAAGAAGGTTCAAGGAATCACTTTGTTGTTGGAGCAGGAGTGTCTGGCTGCTTTGTTACCGTGGACACGGTCTCTAGCTGTGCCTCAAGGCCCCTAATGTCACAATAAAAGCCACGAACATGTAACTAAAAGAGTGTTGTCTTTCTCCTTCTCGTCACTGCCTGCATCTCCATTTCTCTCTCACCTCCCTCTCTGCATGTGATGACCCACACGAATCACTTCTTCTGCAAGTTCTACAATTTCCCTTACGCAGCTCTCACTATAGAGAGTTCTCTCTCTCTCTCTCTCTCTCTCTCTCTCTCTCTCTCTCTCGCTCTTTCTCTCTTTCTCTGAAGTTTCCTCTTCTGGGAGCCCATTTTTTATTCCAAATGTCTGCCAATAGTGGTTGATGGCTTTTTTTCTGTTTGTTTTTCGCATGATGTGACAAAATGGCATTTGAAGTAAGCCAAAGTCAAACCCTCATGTTGCTACCTCAAACATAACCTATCAAACTTAATACACATTTTCATACACCCCACCGTTAATCCAGGGGTCGACAGACAGGTTCATGTTGGGTGAACGCAACATGATCCCTCATGCTTTTGCTGCCCCCTCTGCACACACACACACACACGCACACGCACACGCACACGCACACACACACCTCTCAACACACCCTCACCCGCCCCCCCCCTTGCTGCATGCCATTGTCACTCTCTGAATGAGTGCTATTAAAACATGCTTTCAACTCCTCACACACGCACCGCACACTTTCCCCAAAACGAAAACACACACACACACACACACACACACACACACACACACACACACACACACACACACACACACACACACACCTCTGAGTGTTGTCGGTGTCAGAATCTTTGAGAATGCCAGCTCAGTTTAAGTTCAAACCTCCCCTCAGCATGAAGTTCTGTTGAATTTTCTTTCTTTTCTCTAGTGTTTATGTATAATTGATTATCTGAAGCTGTATCACATATTACTAATATGTATTCAATCTAGTTACGGTGCTTTAATTGCTGTATGTTTATCTGTTTGCTTGTGCTTTGATCATTAAATCAAAATTTAAAAAGTAGACCTAAACCTTCCTTCATTTATCCACAGTTAGCTCTCTACATTAGATTGTGTATGGAAACATACACTTTAAAATGTCTTTATTTATATTCATCCCCTTTATATTGAAGCAGTATCAGTGACATTGTAGAGAGGAAACATAGTTGTAATCTCCTTCGATCCTTTCTGTAGTGTTGTCACTTTCCTGTTTGCAACACAATCTGCAATCATTTTAAAAGGAACCCCAAAGGGAACTTATGATAGCATTCTCAGACTAGTGGACAAGACAATATATCTTAAAAAAAGCCCCCTCTGCCATTTAAGTGTCCTTCTATCCCCTCCTTTCCCTGCACCTGTCTGGTGCTCTGGTGTCGCTGAAAGTGAAGGAGCTGGGGGGGGTGAAGTCATGACGGGGTACAGAGATGAATCCCAGTGGGGAAAGCTCTGTCAGCGAGGACAGAGCACAGTCCGCCAACGTCAGCTGTGCCAAAGGGCTGAAAGTAAATACACATCCTGCGTAAACTCAGGACTGGTCTGTGCTCGTTGAAGTGACGTCCTGCTGCCACCTGTTACAGGAGCATGACCCTACCGTGCATGCATCAGTGTTTGTGTGTGTGTGTGTGTGTGTGTGTGTGTCTGTGTGTGTGTTTGTGTGTGTGTGTGTGTCGTACTTCTCCTTAAACTACTCCTATCCAGACTCAGAGCTAGCAGCTACAAGGAATCTCTGTCTGAGATAATTATTGGAAGACTTTGACCTCCGGATGACTGCTGATATGATATATAAGGATCATATGAGCGGACAGTATTTATAGGGTTGGTTGAACATGTAGCTAAGCTGAACGTCTGGACAGCAACACCACAGTGTCAGTCATGACTTCTTGAGCGAAGCACACACACACACACACAGACACAGACACACACACACACACACACACACACACACACACACACACATACACAGACACACACACACACACACACACACACACACACACAGACACACACACACACACACACACACACACACACACAGACACACACACACACACACACACACACACACACACACACACACACACCTAGACATGTCCCTGCTGGGAATGACAAATATAGCAAGTTGTTAACAATTAGTGACTGAGCCCAGACCTAATGAGTGTCTGACATTGTGCTTGCTATAAACAAGGTAGCATGCTGTCATTGGGCGTATCTATCCATACCAGCCATGCACCATTTTTGATGATATAATGTTTCACAAAAAAAAAAAATCATATCTGTGCTGATTAAATTTTCACTGCTCAAAATGTTTTTGGTTGTTTTCCTGCTTTGAGTGATGACATAGACTGATGGAGTCATGTAAGGATTTTTTGTCGATGTTTTTCTGGTCCAGAGGGACTTTGTAGCGTCTGCCAGATGGCAGAAACTGAAAGGAGGAATGGAGCCTTTGAGGTTCTGTTTCCAGTATATGCCTAAAGGAACTTTACCCCAGTTGTTCTTACACATATGAATTGCACCGATTCTGTGTGATTTAGCTTGGCATACATTAATCTGACTCTGTTTCTTTCTTCAGGGCCGTTGCTCCAGGGAGAACTGCAAGTACCTGCACCCTCCTGCCCACCTAAAGACCCAGCTTGAGATCAATGGCAGGAACAACCTGATCCAGCAGAAGAACATGGCCATGCTGGCCCAGCAGATGCAGCTTGCGAACGCTATGATGCCCGGCACGCAGCTACCACCTATGGTGAGAGGACACACACGTATGAACACACCACAGCTACTGTTAATGGTGAGATGGCATCCATGTGAAGGCTCACGCATATACAGCTCCCTCACTCTCAGTGCAGCACTTTGATCATTCTGATTTCTCTCTCTGTCAGTCCCTCTCCTTTGTTATTCAAATAACTCCTACTTTATAGTTTACGTGAACATTTTATCCACAGTTATTTCATCCCTCTAATTTTATTTTTCTCTTGTCCAGCCCATGTTCTCGGTTACACCAGGCCTGGCTTCAAACGCCAGTGCGGCAGCAGCTGCAGCTGCTGCCTTTAATCCCTACCTGAGCCCTATGTCACCCGGCCTGATGCCCCAAGAGATCATGTCCAGCACCCCTGTCCTCATGGCCTCCAGCCCAACCATCAGCCAAGTCCCCAACGCTGCCGCTGCTGCAGCCCAGAAACTGCTGAGAACAGACAGACTCGAGGTAACTTACAGACTGAGAAATAAAGTTGTTTTTGGTGCATTATGTTGCATAGAATCAACACACTCCTCCCGAAGAAGTCCAGGAAACGTCTAACAAACTTGTGATGATTTTCTTTCCCAGTAGGAGGGGAGTAAAACATGATGGTAATGTGCCTATAAACAAGACAAGTGTTGTAAACAGAGGTTTAACAAGCCACAAATAACAGAATCCTTCATTGGATTTATATAAACTGTTTATGAAAAGAGGTAATTTAAATATTAATAGCAAGTACGCTATGGAAAGTGAAAGCTAATTTAAAGAGGTAGATCAAAATAAAAACCGTCTGAAGTACATAAATTGTAATATAGTTTCAGGTCATGATGTAGAGTGCAGTAAAGAGTTAGTTTGTAATTAAATGTATACTGTTAATGTATCAACCCGCTCTTACTCTGCCTAGTTTAGTTCTAGTACACTTTGTACTTTTGTACAGCTCGAAATGTAATTAATCAAGCACAAGAGATTAGTCTGAACTTGTTGAATATCATTTTCAGTGGGAAGAGCGGTAATGATTTCCATAGCAGCAGTGATAGTAAAGCAGCATCAAATGAACACATTCTTTCCAGTCAAATTTAAAAAAAATACTCTCATTGCTCAAAGCAAAACATTTGCTGCGGCAGCATTGCATTCTGGTCGTTCAAGGCTACTGTCAGCAGACAAATAACTGCATCTTCCTCCTCTACTGTGGCTGGTGCTGTTCAGCTCAGAAAGAAGTCTTTGTTCTCTGACTACATGAAACTGTGTTTTTGCTGCTGGAAATATCTGCAATATTTCAATACTTAATTTCCTTGTTGATTATTCTTTGGTGTATCTCACAAAAATAAAGAATAACATAACCACACAATAAACCCATAAATGTTTAGCGGTTCATCAAAAAGTGGTTTTCAAAAGCTTTGTAGCAGAGCATACATGTTGGGATTTTGGCCCCCTCTTTTAAATAACATCAGGAGAGTGAACGACTTTGTTTACTCAGAACAGGAGAGTGTAAAGCAGATAAGAAATTATATGAGTAAGTGATAGTAGTAGTGATAATAGTAATAATACATTTAATTTATGAAACACTTTACGTTTAGAACAAACCTCAAGTTCTTAAAAACGGCATTAAAACATTTATGAACAAAACAGGTAAGAACAACAACACAATAGAAATAATAATAAAAACAGTTAAGAACAGTTCATTTACATTTATAAAAGGGTCATGTAGGGTCAATGTGGCAGGTGAAGTCCTTACAATCAAAATAAAACTGGAGAGAAATGTCTTTAGATTATCTTTGAGATATACCCATGTGCTCATGGTACCTCTTTTTTGAAAGAAGGTGCTGCCCTCTGGTGTCTCACATATAGATTTTTTAAACATGTCTGAGACTTCCACTGTGACAAACATGTAACAGTTCTTTATTGGGTTTATCGTGTTGGGTTAGTTGGGTAAAAAGTGAAATAGCTGTTCCAAAGCATCAAATTTTTTAGTGTAATATTTTTATAGGAAGTTAATAGTTTTGTTTAAACAGGAAGAATGCCGTAGATATCTACAGACCTTATCTTTAGAGTGAAAGGCTGTTCAAAATGAGGAAGGCCTGGAAGCAAAGCATTTCATCTATTTATTAAACTGCAGGTCTTGTGCATTTTTAAGTGTAATGGATGTTTAAGCTACACACCCTTTGCAAAGTCAAAGTCAAAGCTCTATGAGTCTTACTTGATATGTTCTTAATAAGGACGCAAATACTCAAAGAAGAACATCTTTGCTTGGAACTATTGTTTGGCTACATGATTTGTTTGTAGGCAACTACATTTTCTCATAATTTGTTTCGCTGTCATTTCATTTCCAGGTGTGTCGGGAATATCAGAGGGGCAACTGCTCTCGGGGGGAGAACGACTGTCGCTTTGCCCACCCATCAGACAGCACCATGATCGACAACAACGACAACACAGTCACCGTGTGCATGGACTACATCAAGGGTCGCTGCTCCCGGGAAAAGTGCAAGTACTTCCATCCGCCAGCCCACCTACAAGCCAAAATTAAGGCTACCCAGCACCAGGTGAACCAGGCCACAGCCGCCGCGGCCATGGTGAGCAGTCTGTACACGCAAGGTCAAACTCAGTCACGCACACGACACAAAATGAGTTTTTAGATGTATTCAAGGGCTCTCTTCATTTAAAATCAGGCAATAAGAAATATTAAATTTCTGTGTTTGAAAGTGTCTCATCTTTCTGGTAGCTAGTTCTGCTTTTTCAAGGTCAAATTTCAAAGGTCAGCTAGTTGGTTTAAGTCCAATCTGCTCCCAACCAGATGCTATGAATAAAGGAATCAGACAATAGTACATTATCATTGGCATTTCTGTTTTTTATTTCTTCCTAATTTGACAGCGTTTATAGATTGTCTGTTCCTTTTTCCATGTCATCAAAGACCACAAACAGAGAGCTAGTTCCCCTCTCTCTCTCTCTCTTTCTGATGGCCTGGTCTTGTTTGTCACACCTTTGTTTCTGTGCTTCCTCTCTATTACTTCTCTTCCTCTTTGACATTATTAAAAAAATGATTCATTATGCTTTCAGTCCTGTCTCTCAGTAACAGCACCTTTGAATAATAGTGCAGCCACACAGTGTTTCCTACATGCTCTTATTGAAGAAGCCAGGCAGTGAATCGTTGTATGTGACACTGACTATGACGTGCACAGTGAAACAGAAACCTGTGAATTATTCTTTCGGATAATTTTCCTGTTGAATTTGATCAGTGAGACTCGCTTTACAGCAATGATCGTGTAATATTCTCATCACTATGTTCATCCATGGTTTTGTGACGGTGACTAATGTAGATGGTAGTTATCATTGATGATTGTTTAACTGTCCAGCAGTAGAGCTAGTGTTCACACTGTGCATGACTTAGTCCTGTTTTCCCCTTGTATATTGCATTCCAATGATTTGTTTTTTTATTTGTTTTTGTTTTTTCTCACCTATACCCAAACTGCACTGCTGCCCCCATGATGCACCTCTGCTTGCTGGTTTATGTTAATGCGCTTGAACCCCATTGGCCCATTGCCATCATGTGCTCGCTGCCTGCTAATTAAGACTCAGTCGGCTGTCAAATCACTGAAGCGACCCCTCGACGCAACCTTTGACCTGGTACTATGACCTTTCACCTTTTAGCTTGGCATGTGGCTTTGTTGTAGAGCAGTATGTTTAACCAAAGATACCTCGCTATTTTTGTTTGTCGTTGTCTCAGTGCAATGTCTGTCTTTTCCTCCTGTTGATCTGTCATTATTACTGCTGGTGATCAAATGATTGTGGCTCTCTGAATTTAGGTTCATCCAACACCAAACGGTTATCTTCATGTTCAAGTTCTAGGGCTGTCAAACGATTAAAATTTATGATTGTAATTAATCACTGAATTTAAATAGTTAATCGCGATTAATAACATTTTTAATCCCCTGTTTGAAATTACATTATTTTGCATTTAAAAATAAAAACTGTTAGTCTCTGATTTTTTATTTTTGCACTGTATTCAGGTGTGGGTACTTGACTTGCTGTTTGAATTCAATCCTGCTTTTATTTTGAAATAAAGTGAGGACCTTCTGGTAGATCGAAGGTTAACCACGGGAAAAGGAACTTGTTACGGATCAGAAACTAAATGTCAACAGCGAAGCACAGTGTTAAAGTGCAATGTTTGATGTCATGAGGTCGGTATAACTTCTGAGTCATTTGAGCTGTCTGAGAGTTTCTAAAGTGAAATGAGAAGTTGTTCTTTTTCCATCACTGCGACTACAGGGAGACACTGCGGAGGCTTATCCACTGTGCTCCTAAAGGGACAAAACAGCATGCCATTAATTTGCGATAAGAAAAAGTGCATTCATTTCAAAACCTTAATTAATTGCGATTAACTAGTTAATGCTGACAGCCCTTTTTCAAACACAAATTCAAATGTGGAATTTTGTTTCAAGGAGCCGCAATCAGTTCATCACCTATAGCCTATTTAACAAAAGTCAGCGAGGGCTAGGGAAGTAGAGCTTCTTTAACGGTGCCATGGCTTCAGTCTTACGTCCAAGTCAGTGGTCAGTGTTGTGGAGCAGCTCAATCAAATGTGTGCATGTCTCTGTTACTAGTGCATGTCAGATAATGGATAAAGGTGGGGCTAGAGGAACAGTCTTTAAATCCATACACGAGTGATCCCACCATAACAGATGATTACAGTTCAAATGATTGTTCACTCCATCATCAAATCTTTTCACGGATATTCAGACCTCAAGGATGGCCTCATGCAAGGACTTAATGAACCCACAGAGAATTTTATTGTTGTAATTATTGATGCCTGAAAAATACTTTTCGATGACCCTCCTTCTGTCCCTTGGCGTGAGACCATTTTTGACTCTTGTCTGAGAGTGAACCATCACTTAAACATGGCTTACATAGTTTATCATGGAGCTAGCAGTGCAGCCTCCCTCTCTCTGTGCTTCCTACCTGTTCCACCTCTTGTTAGCAACAGCATTATTGTTTTAATAGTTAATGCTTGCATATGCCTTTAGTCAGCCCTAAGAGTACAAAGTTAATGATCCAATCAGCGTCTTGTTATAATGATGTATATATGAATGCTTGTTAGCCAGTCGCTCCAGTAAGCACCATGCTCCTGCTTGTGTAGTACTTGTGTCAGACTGCTGCTTGCTTGCTACTGATGATATGATGACGTTGTTGTTGTTGTTGTATACACAAGGATGTTCTTATGCTGTTTCTGTGTCCTCTAACGTATGTACTTTTTTTGTTTTCTTTCCCGTTTTTTGCCTCTTTCCAACACACCCTCTCTCTCTCTCTCTCTCTCTCTCTCTCTCCACGCACCTCTCTCTCTCTTTATTTTTCTATCTCTGTTTATTTTCTTTCTCACTGGCCCCCCCCCCCCCTCTGTCTGGCTGGGCAGGGCATCGCCCCTAGTGTCATGGCTCCCATGCCAAAGCGGGCAGCCATGGAGAAGGCAAACGGAGCCCCTGCCATGTTTAACACCGGCATGCTCCAGTACCAACAGGCCCTGGCCAACATGCAGTTTCAGCAGCAGGCTGCTTTCCTCCCATCAGGTAGGAATCCCAAAGAAAGCATCACTAGAGCGCTGAACACCCGGCGGAGGCAAGGATCAGCCTAACATGGCTCCTGCTTGGCTTGGGTGAAGCAACGTGGTAGATAGCAGCACAGAGCAGCTCCGGTGTGGATTATTTATAGAAGAAACTTACTAGGAGCTAGAATAAAATATTAAGATTTCATGTAAAGCCAGTGAGGTAGAGCATTCATATGCTGTATAAAAGCTAAAAATGCTTCAACAAATGTGCGCACTGTGCTTTGTATGGCATTGCATGGCCACTAGGAGTAAGGATGGGTTCAATTGTCTGTCTTTCACTAATTGCCTTAATATGAGTACATAACCCCTTTTGTAAGGACCTCAGGAAAAGGAGTTGTTACTGCGGTAATAACTAATGGGCATCCAACCTTAATCAATCAATCAATAAATAGTTACCTGCTCAATCTAAAACAGTGTTTCTCAAAGTGAGGGTACTTTAGAGAACTGTAGATGGGGACTTAAGAGTTTTAATCATGAATTTAAAAAAAATTATTTCATTATGCATTTTTTAGAATAAACACATTTTTCATCAAATATTGATATATTTAGGGCGCGCTGGTGGCGCAATGGTTAGGGCGCGCGTCCCATGTATTGAGACTCTCGTCTCGAGCGGTAGGCCCGGGTTCACTTCCACCTGTGGCCCCTCTCCGCATGTCATTCCCCGCTCTCTCTCCCTGGTTTCCGACTCTATCCACTGTCCTCTCTCTGAATTAAAGGCACGAAAAAGCCCAAAATAAATCTTAAAAAAAAAAAAATATTGATATATTCAATGCAAGACATTTCTTTTCAACTGTCACAGGAAACGCAATCATGTAAAGTTTATACTTGGTCGCTTCGTTTTTTACATTTGAGCGTTTATAGTATTGACCTGCTGAATGAATGTTACAGCAGAACATCTGAAAAGTCAGAGTGAAAAACACAGCATACAAAATACCAGAAGTGTGGGGTGCTGATGGCCTAGCGGTAAGGTCGCACCCCTTGTACGGAAGCTTTAGTACTCGAAGCGGGCAACCTGTGTCCAAGTCCAACCTGCGGCTCCTTTTCTGCATGTCATTGCCCACTCGCTCCTTCACGATCCACTGTCCTCTTTGAATAAGGGATAAAAAATAAACCCCAAATAAATCAAAATACAACTTAATACCATCAGTATGAGGTGGAATAAGATTTAAAGCTGGTCAGAAACCCTCCTCAGGCTTTGTGTGTTAAAGCAAAAGTGGTTAAGTAAGCAAAGTACTGATGGCTAATGATGTGTTGTCTCTTTTTATATGCCTATTTTCTACCAAATACATTATTCTCTGGTTCGAGGGTGTCTGGCTGCAAAAGGAAATATAACAGGAGGTAAAACAGTTTGAGAACCACTGGTCTAGGCCCTGCAGGCTGAATGAGGAAGGCATGGATGTTTGTAAGAAAAAGAACAGAACTGCCTAACTTGTAACAAGTTACATGTTTGTCAAGTAAAAGTGTCCTTGGTGTGATCACTCATATTACCACTGCTGGGGCTTTGGCTTGGGCTGGGAGGAAGGGGCCCCCGGGTGGTTGTGGTTCCTTATAGTATGCCTCAGATTGGCAGCAAGCTGCAAAGTCTGGCTTCTTTACATCTGCTGTTCTCCTCACTTCTGTCTAGAGTGTGTATAAAATATGGTAATTGTTACAATCACAGTTGCACTAACACTCTTGTTGTAGTACATGTGTATATGCATTGCTCTTGAGACAAAAAGTTCAGATTCACACTCTGATTTGATTCAACAAGATTGCTTTATGATGCGTTCACCACTTCGCCTTTTATTCCAATCACTGATGACTGTGTCCAAGAGATATTAACCTTTCTTCCCACCTTATCTCTCCCCTCACTCTAACGAAAACCTTGTGATGGGCCTGTTTTGATTTCTCTCCCCTATCCAATCCACTTCCTGTTGCACTGCATGATGGGCAGGCTCAATATTGTGCATGACACCTGCAGCCGGCGTTGGTAGGTTCCAGCTTTCCTTCTTCAGTTACCTGTTACCTCATGTCTGTGACTCACACCCCATCCAAAATACAATCCTGAAATGTACTGTCTTGTACTCCAAAAGACTCATTTTGATTTGATCATGTTGTGTGTATACATTTTCTGAAATATTAGAGCATAGGCAAGAGTCAACAGACAGAAAAACACATTTTATGACATTTAAATGTTCTAAATGAGCTCTATGCCAGCTGTTATTTTTCATAGTATTAACGTGAAAGACCTTGATTATGTCTGTATCTCTATGTACACCTACTGTATATCACTTGACCACTCTTGTGCTCATACTCGTTCTTAACTTGGCTTTTGGCTGAACTTACCTGACACCCACTAAAACCTTTTAAAACACAGAGGGAGTTCAATTATAACCTTCTTCTTGTCTTCTCTGCCTTAATGAGTCGTATTTTTGGAACTTTCAAAAATTAAGCTCTTATCTGGTGTTTACCAAGAGAGTACTAAGTTGATATTTTACTACTTATAATAGTGAGTCAGTGCTTCTGCTGCTGCGTTACTGTGTCACATCAAGTTCTCAAATCACAAGACCTCTTATCTTTGATGGCAGAGAGAAGAAAGGGATCCAGTTAAATCGAATTCACCCTCCTCCTCCCTCTCTTCTCCTCCTCCTTCCCTCATTTGCCTGTTGTATGTATGTGGCTACACTGCACCTCTGTGAATTTTTGCTTACATGATTTTCCCTCCAAAAAAAGTTCCCATGATGCACGGTGGTAATCCAGCCACTGTGTCTGCAGCCACCTCATCTGCCACAAGCGTTCCCTTTGCAACCGCCTCCACCAATCAGGTTTGCACCTCTACCGCCTCACCCTGTCTCTCGCTCTCTCTCTCTCTCTCTCTCTCTCTCTCTCTCTCTCTCTCTCTCTCTCTCTCTCTCTCTCTCTCTCTCTCTCTCTCTCTATGTCTGTCACTCTAAATGCACATGGAGGATCTGGGAATGCTTGTGTCTTACAGCTAGGGGTGGGTTGGGTTAGAGGCAGTACTCCTTCTTGTTGGCCTACACAAGAGTCCAACATGTGTACACGTATTAATGATATCAAAAGTTCTGAGGCAATGTCCTTCATTTTACCTAGAAACAATGTTCACATGTCTCCCAGTTTATCTTATCACACTGTATTGCATTTAATGTTTGTCCTCATTGTAACCTCGATTCTTGTCCTTTCCCATTTTGAGGACTCTTCCTTATCAAAGTTGACTACCAACGAATACATGCAATTGGTATGTATGAGGTAGTTGTTGTTTTTTTTACATTTTTTAAAGAGCCATTTGCACAGCTTGTGCCACAGTCGCTATCTGTGCTCTTTCGTGCTTGGCTTTTCATTTACATTTTTCTTTTTTCGCTGCTGCTTCCAGCACCTAAAGCATAGCTGTTACAAAGTCGAACACATTCATGATTCAAATCAGGGAAAGGTTTTTTAAAACAGATTGAATGAAGATGTGCTACATTCTGATTTCATTTCTGTCCAATGTAATTTGTAAGCTACATTGCACAGTGTCATAATGCCAGTGAAGAAACGTCTGATAGGATGAAGCATCATGTTACCCGTCATGATCCAGGGCCAGTTCTCATTTTATTGTTGTGTGCAGGTCAACAACATGGAGGACTTAGATTTGCATGGGGGAGTCACCTCACTGACAGTTTCCCGTTGACCCCCTCATCTCTCCTTTCCTATCAAGCCCCCTCTCCCCCTCCCTGCTGTCCAGGAGTGTCTGTTAATTTGTATTGACATCTCACATTGGAATGAAACTTTAGCTATGATGCTTTTCTACCTTGTCATCTACGCTTTTTCATTGATTAACTCATCTTAATATGAACAGATGTTGCTGCATTGTGATTTTGCTGTCGGCTAACTTCCACTTTTAGTATTCTCAGTTTGGGATTATCTCTTTGATCTCTTGGTCTGTTTTTTTCATTTCCCACAGATTCCAATAATATCTGCAGATCATCTGAGTAGTCACAAGTATTTGACTCAAATGTAGTTCCTCTCAAGAACAGTGAGTTCCTTTTTCAATCCTCACATTCTCTCTATTCATTACAAAGTCGATGTTATGTGCATCCATTTAGCTCTGGTTTAAGATCGTGCACATAAAACACAACTTGTAACAGTCATTTCTGTCTCTCTCTCTCTCTCCCTGTAGCATAATTTACACAGTTTAATGTATTACTTACTAATGTGAAATCGGTTATATCTTTCAGATCAAGCGAATGTGTGCTGGCACCGTCCAAGCCAAAAGAGTTCAGCCTTTATGTACATAACCTTCAGAATGTCAAGCAGCGGGGCGAAGAGAAGGGTCTGCCATCTCTGGTCTCATCACACGAGTCAACATCAAGGGTGCAACATGTGATTGGTGCCATCTTCCCGCATAGACACATTTTTTTAGTCAAATTCAACGTCCAGCCGAGAGAGGAGGATATCTTGGTGCCGCGGTCATTGTGCGAAACATTACACCTCTGTCTCTGACTAAAACAAAGCACTCAATTAGTTCTAAATTATTCTCATCACTGCATGCACAGAGGGTCAAGAGCGTGGTTGCACAAAGCAACATCCAGTGCTGGTACGTTAGTAGACCAAGATTTTTCTTTCCCTTTTTTTTTTTTTTTTTTTTTTTTTTTATTCGTTCTGCTTTATTATTATTATTTTAATTGATAGCCATATTTCATAGTTTACATGTGAAATGCAAACATGCACCTTGAATTTGAATACAAAAGTGAAAGGCACAACGATTTAAACAGGAATTTTGTTGGCCAAAAGAATTAGGCATGTACAGTATTGTGTTTTTACGGCTACTAGTGAAACTAGATGTTGAAATGAGGGTCTTGGACATATGAATGTTCTGGTTAAACCAACATACCTGTGTACCTTGAAAGCACAGCCAGGCTAGCTTTTTTTTCTCCTTACCTTATCATGTGCCATCAAGGCCATACAGCTAAAACCAGAGTGTTATCTCAGCAGTGTTATTTGTTTACCGAAGGTTCAAGTTTTGTATGGCTCTTTTTGTAATGTTTTGTTTCAGAATCTCCATTGTGAGTGTTTTTTTTTTTTAATTTTTTTTTTTTACTCTTTTACTTTGTTTCTCTAATCAATCAGTTTTAGAAGTGGGTTTTTTGTGCCTTTTTTTTTTTTTATGTTTTTTTCTTTTAAATCAAAAATGGAGGGTTTTTCTAAAGTTTGTCATACCTCTTTTCAGAGAGTAGTGTTGTTCATGCTTGTTGGGATTAAGAAGTCCATTGACTCTAAAGCCTGGTAGAGGGTGTAGCTTCGATTGACTGTGTGTTCCCCCTCTTTTAAAGAGGAGTAACTCTCAAACTGTGTCTCCAAGAAGCACTGTTGAGCATTGCGTTGATGGGAATTTTAAAACAACAGACCCAAAGGTCTATTAGGTCATTTTAACCACGTGTGCACTTGACTGATTGTTTGTCTGCTCACCCTGTTTGAATTTCACAAGCCATCCTCAGTGAACTTTTACTTTTGAGGAGATACAACACTTTCTCTGTGTGTATTTCATTCACCTGTAGATCTGACGACAGAAACCAAAGCACACTTTTTCTCCCAGTCGTGTTCACGAATGATTACAGCAGCATCTCTCAAAAGGCTGAAACAATTAAGGAAACATGTTTATCATCTTCATTCATTTGCCCGTTTTATGATCACTTATTGTTTCTGTTTTCATAAAGGTGTGTAGTATGTCTTTACCGATTGTAACATACCTAACAAAGCCTTAGATTACAATTAATGGGCCTTAGCCCAATCAATGTACTTTCAATCACCATGCAGGTAAAGAACACCAATGATGTTTTATAGTTCTCTCACATGCCGCATATGATCTTTTTTGATCTTCTATCGATGTTAAAGTAACAATTACTCTCTTAAATTTCATGTGTTATGTACTACTTAGGATTTGAGTCGATTTGAGGTATGTAGTTGTAGATTTTTTTTTTTCTTTATTTTTTGCCTTACTATATATTACTTGACAACAATGATATAGCCGTTGTAGATTTTGAGGTAGTATGACATTCATAACTTTTTCAAACCATATAAATGATAATGTGTTGAGTCAGTTTGAAATATTCACCTTATTCATATAGCTGGATGTCTTTTTTCAGTTAATGTTACATTATCAGTTAATTTTGTTGATAAAGAGTTTTGTTTTTGATACAAGGAATAAGATCAATTCATTTGGTGCCACAGCAGCATCTCTGAGTAGACAAAAAAAACAACAACTAATGTTTTAACCAACTTAAGGTTTCCTTGATCATGTTTTAAAATATATTGTATTATATTATAAATTTGCCATGTTTTAGAGTAAAAATTATTTTCTACTGTATCCATTTCAAGAAGATATGTACTTTTGTTTGAATATTTCTTAAGTTTGCCCTGAATGTCAGGCCAAAACGAGCAGTGAGATTGACGGGTGTTTGGATGTGAGATTAGGAGCGAGAAAGCAGATACTTCTCCAGATATGAGGAGTACCAAATGCTGCAGACATGAGTTCTAACCTAAGGGACGAAGGTTGACTTTTTGCACTTCTGTATATAGTCAAATGAACAGAGAAAAAAATGTGTATCATATTGAGATATTATTTTGAATAAAAAAAGATCTATAATTATAAGGAATTTTGCTAGATTAATTTAAAATTCTTAAATTAGAAGACCAGCTAAAAAAAAAATTGCTTGCAAAGAAGGGCACTAGTTTCTTGGCCAATGCATTCAGAGAAAGCTATATGCGCTTTTTGACTTTCTTTATTTTTTCAGAGGCTAGTTTTGCCAGGGAATGTTGCAGGGAAGTATATATCCCTGTGTCATGCTTACTCCATCCCTCTTGTAGGATCACACATCCAGTGAAGTCCATTTAGCATTTGTTGGACTTGGTCATGCAGTATTGCTGCTCCCATGGTACAGATGATACATTCAACTATCAAAGTTTATATTCTATTATAGTTTGATTTGACTGCATGTTAAAGTACAATTCTGCATAGATATGTAAAGAAAGATAAACACATTCAGAATACAAAATACACAGTAATATGTTTATTTTTTATCAAGTATACGTACAGTAGATAACATCCACAGTGGGGAGAAATAATACTTCAGAAACAAGTCATCTTACTCTTGTGTGAAAAGATCATTTTCCAAGCAATCATTTTATTTAAACAGAGATCAAATATTAGCACTCATCCACCCCGGATACTTTCTCATAGACAGATAATAACAGTCGACTCTGACTCACAGGAATATGTTGTTGCTATCATATCTGTGCTCTCAGCAGGAGAAGGCTCAACACACCAAATGCTTGTTTGGCAAACTTAGTCTTTTCAAATGAATGTAACAGTCACCGTTCAACGTGTTTGTGACTCGAGGCTGCTGTTAAGTCGCTACAGAACCAAAGCACCATTTTTTTCTCCAAACCAGATGTTCAGTCATATGCCGACTGTAACCGAGGTTTTTCTTCCCTGCTGAGGGCACACGAACGCTTTGACTGCTTTTCACTTGTAAGTGCAACCACCAGTTATGTATTTGCTAACAGTTGCCACACAATAATGTACTATTCTGACTTCAGATTTGTTTATGCACATTTTATTGTTGCCATAATTGACTCTTGCTGTATGGATGAAAAAAAATCTGAATAAAACAATATTTGATTTGCTCATGCAACAGTGTTGTGATCACTGCGTCGTGTGTTCATTTTACTCACACTTATATTTGATCCATGTAAGGTAATGCCACTTACAAATCCTCCTATCTGTTTTATCTTGTAGGTCAACATGAAAGCATTTGTTTCACATTTGTTTCACATCAATAACATCTCGGTCAGTGTATGAGATGTTTCCTTAACTTCACCATTAACAACACTTTGTTACCTTGAGGGTTCAGAGTCAGAAAGACTGGAGCAGCTCCACAGAGAGACCCTCGTGTATGACAGAGGTGCAATGTCAAATGAATAGTGCTCATTGCAATTATATTTAGATTGTGTGCAATATCTGGGTCAGGACTGATTATAGTAAAGTATGATGAAGCCTACATGCACTCCACATGGCTCCCACCGGTTACATTCTGATGACATCAGGGCTTTTGTTATTTATATCAGCTGCTCGTAAAAAGTTGAACATTTTTTTTCCATACAACACAAAGAACCTTCTTTTGCTCATAAATGGGCTGATTAATGGTTTCCTAAAACAAGTACAAATACAAAAAAATGAAGAAATAAGATAATAAAATCATCAATAAAGATCAATGGATATCCATAATTCAGTTTGCCATTGATTAATATAGTATTTGTACTTGTTATCATCATGTACATGGTGCAGAATTTTAAGTTCAAAACATGATAAGAAAAGAATGCATTTCTGTTAAGTTAATCAACAATGTAGTTGAAATAAAATAAGTATAATAATTTATACTTTATTAATCCTGCGAGGGGAAATTTGGTTTTACACTGTTTAATGAACATGAACACACACATAGGCCGAAAATACATACACATGCACAAACAGGATCCTATGGACATGCACTAATGGAGAGGTCTGAGAGTGACAGTGCTGCCCACAGCGAGTGCTTCAGAGCGGTTTTGGGGTTCGGTGCCTTGCTCAAGGGCACCTCGGCAGTGCTCAGGAAGTGTAGTTAAATAAATACAAAATACTGATTACACTTTATTATCCTGGTCTTGTTATTCTATCATAATGCTTTACGCATGTAATTTAATATAAATAAGAAAATCAATGTAAACACTGACATCAGGCAGTTAACTGTGTTTTTAATTGGCTGTGATGGGTTTATAAAGACTGACTAAATAGCAGAGGAATTTCCAAGAAGGAAAAACTGAAATATTTATGACTGACTGTGAAACTATTTAGGTTACATTTGCAACTCAATTAAATTCATCACAGTAATTGGAAGTGAGCCAAATGAAGAATGTGTTTCTCTTCTCCCTTGTAACTGGAACCAAATCACACAAGTCTTTCCCTTTGATGAATCACAGGAAAATGAAGCGTTACGTCATCTCCATCTCCACCTTGTGTATGAGGGGGTTTATTTCTTTGTGTTTCAATCTTTTTTTGTTAAATAGTGTATATTAGTCATGCTCTTAGACTTAAATTCCCGCGGGAATTTTACTTATAATCGAGACATTTTACAGTTAATCAGGTTAAGAATTCATCCACTTATGCATTGTAGTCTGTTGGGATATGTAAATGTGCTTTAATGAATGACCTCATTAGCATGCATGCTTGTGTACAATCATAATTATAGGGATAGAGTGCAGCTCAAAACCCCTTATTGAGAGTAATGACCGTGAATGAGAGCATGAGGTGAGAGGTCACGCAGACTACAGACATGCATGCACACACACGGCTGTGCAAGCCTGTCTGGTCATCTGACTGAGAGTTTCGGGGGACGGCTCCTTTAAGAAAGCGGAACTGCGCGTCGCTGTTTGACGCGCTGAGGATGTGGTGGGCAGGAAACGCTGTGCAAGAGCAAAGCGGAGAGACGATCACGCTTCCCAACAGCAAGGGTTTGCACAATGCAGAGCGATCAAAATGCGCTTTAATCCGCCACGCTGATGTCCAGGAGAGGTCGGATCTGGACTCCGCGGCCGTCGCAGAGGATTTGTCGGCGTGGGGTTTGACTGCAAGCCGAGCGAGGGCAGCCTTCCCAGTCTGCTCGCTTTGAAAACATCGGGGCTGGTCAGCGGGTGGGAGGGAGAGAGAGAGAGAGCGAGAGAGAGAGAGGAAGACTTCGTCGCGGAAAAAAGGAGGTGTCTTGCCTTTTTTTTTTTTTTTTTTTTTCCATTTTCTCCCCCTTTACACCACCCACCCAGGCCATGAGGGAGTACAAAGTGGTTGTTTTGGGGTCAGGAGGAGTCGGTAAATCCGCGCTGACGGTCCAGTTCGTGACTGGCTCCTTCATCGAGAAATACGACCCCACGATAGAGGATTTCTACCGGAAGGAGATCGAGGTGGACTCGTCCCCGTCCGTGCTGGAGATCCTGGACACAGCCGGGACCGAGCAGTTCGCCTCCATGCGCGACCTGTACATCAAGAACGGCCAGGGCTTTATTCTGGTCTACAGCCTGGTCAACCAGCAGAGCTTCCAGGACATCAAGCCCATGAGAGACCAGATCATCCGGGTGAAGAGGTATGAGAGGGTGCCCATGATCCTGGTGGGGAACAAGGTGGACCTGGAGGGGGAGAGAGAGGTGTCTTCCGGGGAAGGCAAGGCGCTGGCCCAGGAGTGGAGCTGCCCCTTTATGGAAACTTCCGCCAAAAATAAAAGCTCGGTTGACGAACTGTTTGCAGAAATAGTCAGACAGATGAACTACTCAACAGTTCCCAGTGGCGGCGACCAGTGCTGCTCATGTGTCCTGCTCTAAAAACAAACAAACCCAGAGACCACATCCGGGCTGGATTCGTGATTCTAACTTGTCCTGCAGGCTTCTCTCTCTCTCTCCTCACACTGTTGTCTTATTGTTGCACACAAACACAAATCGACGTTGACAACAATCGATCATGTATAATAGTCTGGAAAAAAAAAAGTGTTTACATGACAAAGTTACTTGAATGTTTTTGGGGATTATTTTTCTTTCTTTTATAGCTTTGTATATGACACTTCTCTGGAAATGTGCCTCAATGGGAATGTCTTATTGTGAAACCTAAGAGACATCTGCTTTTATTTCCTGTTCATTTTAGTGGGTTTATTGTTCAGCTTCTGGGCCGGGGTCCGTCTGTCTTAGGGTGGTCATAGTTGTGGGTTTGGTCATTTTTTGGGGATCTCTTTGGCTGAAATTACAGAGCGGGAAACTTGAAAGTGCTTAAAAAAATCTTACGCTCTCAAACGTATCAATCACCACTCAAGCCTTTGCACAGGTTCCTTAAATCTGATCAACAAAAATGCATTCCCCCCCCCCCAAAAAAAAGTCATGACCCCACCCACTTAGGGACTGTATTTGAAGCTGTGGACTGTAGTGGATTTGTGTTTCAGAATTCTTTTTTTTTTTTAGTTCCCCCCCTCTTTGGTGTGGTGAAAGTGGATTTATCATGGATCTTGCACTTAGCTGACGGTGTCCTTCCTCAGTGTGCACAAACGAGGACCTTAGTGCGTTGCTGTGGCTGCATGGGGAACACCACAACCCCATGTCAAGTGCCTTCCTAAGAAAAACTCTTGTGACTGTGCCAACCGATGAGCCCTTCTTCCTCTGCAGTGTGTCTTGATGGCAATCAGAACTTCTTTTTTTTTTTTTTCCGCAGTTTTCTCGTTTCATTTGGTGTCAAGTGAGAACAGCCTCTTCCTGGTGTACAGTCAGGAAGCTCCGCTGGTTGTCCGACCTGCTGATTCAGGGGTCAGAGTCAGGCCATTCCTCCAGGTACTAGTCCCAACAAGATCAACAGAGTATCTTTAACCTACCAGGGTTTTGGTTCAGTGAATGGCAAGCCATGTCTGTATTATCTAGAATTTTGTTTTCCTTTTTATAAAAATGTGACTTTTTTTTTTGACTTCTATTGTAATTGTAAGTTTTCCTTTGGACAAATCTTCTGCCATCCAGCTGTCAGTTGAATGACTTGTAATACAAAAATCATTTTAAGTCAGAGTGTCTGCATTTTATTCAGGGGCTCTTTTACATTTATATTTCCTTTTTATAGAGGAAAAAATGTTGATTAGTCGGACAATTTTAAAAGTTGATATTCAGTTGTTTTATTATCTAAATGAAGACAACAAAAAAACAAAAAACAATTTCTAGCACTATCTTCACCAAAACAAGGACTTGATACTTTTGTCCTTTTTTCCTAATAAGTCTTTGATTTTTAGTTTTGGGAGCGTTTGCACCGCACAAGATCCTGTCAGATATTTGTTGCTCTTGTGTTCACAATTTTTAAACCACTTTCAGACATCCTGCATGACACCTCTCAAGATATAGGCTAAAGGACCATATATCTAAATTATACATTAGAAAAAGAAATGTCTGTTCCAACCAGGCAGTGACTTTTCATGGTGCAGGGGTTTTAGTTTGGACAGGTGACAGGGTTTTTAAATGTTTACTGTTTCTATAAGAATGATTAGTCTTATACACAGAGTTAGAATTACCTAGTAACTGATCATGGCCATCGTTGCACATATGAATAAATAACATCTCAGTCCAGTTGTTTGGATAGTGGGTAGGGTTTCCAGTGAGAGTGTTTAGCTGGGGAGGGCTATTTCCCTTCTACCCACTGCATGTTTTGCCACTGAGCACAGAGAGGGCTTTTTCCTTTCTGCAGCTCAGTTCAATCAGCCAAACATACGTTGTACTGTCGGCTGGTATTTGGTTCCTAAGATTAGCCAATGAGCTGATACCTCAAGTGTCCATGAAACAGCAGAGATTCAAGGTCAGATAATGAACTTCAATCTAAGGACATGTCAGCACTAATTATGTATAGGCTAAAGAAAACATTATTTCAATAAGTTTTTCAATGATGTTGTTTCATTTAAGCTGAAACTTTGGGTGAATTTCAAAGCTCAAGCTTTGCAATAGCTTATGGCATAGTCCTTTCATAAGAATTAACTTAAATATAACACTGCCGCTTGTCTTAAAACTTCAATTACTCCAAATTTTATTCTGGTGTATTGAACGCCCACAGGGCTTCATTTTGTGAAAGTCCACGTCTTTTTGTTATTGAGTGGCTCCTACAAGAAAAAGAAAAAAACTGTTACCTAACAAGTAATGAATTTTATTGATCAGTTTTAACTATTAATGTAAACAGTGACTGTTACATAATTCATGAGATCATTGTGACTGTAATATGAACATGTATAACTCATAGACACTTAAATAAGCCTCGGACATTTATCTTACATGGGAGAAAAAAACAAATACATTTTCAAACTCTTTCTGCAGATCTCCCTCAAAAAAGGGATAAATAAAAATAAGTTTTAAGTTACAAGAGTCAAGGGTGATCTAGATATGCTGATGTTTGATCATCTAGCATTCGGGTCAGAATCAGCTTTCAAAATCAGAATCAGGGTCACATGACTATACGGCTAAAATGAGTTTATCCTTCAAAATATTCTTCGCTACATTTCAAAGGTAAACTTTTCACTTCACTTTAAAGGTAGTAAAGATACTTAAACAATAAAATCTACTTTTAATCCCAAATTGTTCTATAAAAGGTGATCGTTTTTTTCAGGCAAACTAACTTTGCTTAACTTTCTTTTATACATTTTTTTAATCCTATAATACAAATTTAACCAGCTTAGAAAGAAAAAATCCACTCACATGTTGACCAAAATCTATTTCTTATGAGAGTTTAACAGACATGTGCAAAATAAGTACATTTTCTTCTTGGCCTGCATGACCTTAGTCATAAGACCCATCTGGTGTATCATCGCAGTGGAGTTTAAATACATGAAACGCCACATTTACAGTTTTTAAACGATGCCTAAAGCTTGTGCATTTCTCAATATTTGTTGGTCTACAGCAGGATGGTTTCAAAGATACTGTAGTTAAGTGGAATGGGAGGTATCTCTTGGTGACAGCAGGAGCAGCCAGCCCGGTGTATCAGGATTATACTGAGTGTGGAGTTCATAAGAGGCAAACATTCAGCTTCAAAGATGCGGATATAAATGCAGAACGTCTCAGTCATATTCTGCAGTAGTAATGTGCTGCTTTCCTTACAGTCTTACAAAGTAATATCCTTCCATTTGTACACAAAATAATATAAAACATTACGTTATATGACCAGTACACTTCTCTGATGCTGCCTAAACATCTGACACCATTTTATGCCCACTGCATCATTACTCAAACTGTTCCTGTTCCTCTTAATGTTCCTCCTGAATTTCACAATCTACATGGCCAAGAGCCTTACATGAAAGCTGAAGCATTTTTCATTCAGATCATACTTAGCCACATATAACTTGAGTAGTTGTAAGCCTTTAGGTGTACAACCTGCACTACACGAGCTGTAGTGCTATTACACACTGATGCATCATCTTTTTTTTATCGTATAGAGGAAATGAAGGGTGGATGAGAGGGCATTTCCTGTGTTGCTGTAACCTCACCTTAGATTTGTCAGATGTTGAAACTTATACACAGTTCCTCTTTACCATTTTGAAAGAAATGGTTTGTCACAGCCTGTTCTCCCTTGGGTGCCCATGACACAGGATGTGACCCCTGTGCTTCACTTGTAGGAGATGGACAGAATAACTGTATGTGCTTTATCTTGTTCAACTTGAGCCAAAGCTCACACAGAAAGATTCAAATTAAGAAGCATGTGAGAGGAAATGTAGACAAGAGAGAAGAACAGAGTAGGATGGATAGATTGCATTTGAGTGGCTGCATTGTGTGCTGTTACATGTGGTTTGATTTAAAGCCAGCAGGATCATATGACACTATTTACTGATATTTTCACTCTGCAACTTATCGTTTAGCTGATTGGTAAAGACATGGTCAACTTTGATGATATAATGTTATGCAATCGCCTCTAAAACAGCTTTCATTGAAATGTATTGCATGGCTTTTATTGTGAGCCATGAACTCAAACACACACACACACACACACACACACACACACACACACACACTCTCTATCTGACCTTAGCAAAAAGAATAAGATCATCATGTGAGAAAATGTGGAAGTAAGAAAGTCTTCTTTCTTCAATGTTAAGCTTGGCCAGTGTTTTGCAATAACAAGGTCTGTACCCGAGGAGTGGAGATGAAGCCTTACTGAGATTGCATGCAGCTGAATTCTTGGTTAACCTACAATGAAGCCATTATCGGTGCTCATAGGTTACTTACAGTGACAAAGCTGGGCTTTTCTTGGTACACCATGAGGACCCTACACTCTGTCAACAACAAATAGTTCTAAACTCTTGAATGCATCGTTCTGCTCTTTCTTTGAGAAGACAGATTATATTGCCTTTACTTTTGAGCAATAGTTTGACATTTTGGGTAAATATGCTTGTTTGATATTACTAAGAGTTAGTTGCAGAGATGTAAATAGGCACAACACTGTAGCAAGCCACCTGTAAGCTTCGATAAGCAGAAAGAATGCTAACAGGGCAAAAAGCTCTGTGAAAATACAACATACCAGTCCCTCTCAAGCTCAATAGCTTATTTATCTTTAAAAAAGAGTTAAGTGCTGTAACAACTTCTTATACTTTGACGATTTCAGAGCTTTCTGTCTTCATGCTAAGCTAATCATCTGCCACTGGTGTTCTTTACTAAACACTCAACCATTTAGTGTCACTAACAGGTAAGCGTTACTCAATAATAGACTTTTTAATTAAATAAAAATAAACACAATTATTCTTAACATGTGGTTAGTTAAAAACTGCCAGTATCAAACTAAATTGTAGTTAAATTGAAGATTCATGTGAATTCCATGCATGTGAAGTATGAACACATGTAAGCTTCATTTATTGCATATTTGTGCTTTAAAAAATGTATTTCTAAGATAAACCCATTTTCCATCAACAAATCATATTCTGCGTAGGAAAACATGAATGTGGATGGGCTTTTTAACTTTTTCGAAGCGTCGATACTATTCTAACTGAACTAACTTGAAGGGAAATTGAAAAACTGGGATTTTCACATGAATACCAACTGTGTCATTATTTGCGCCAGTGTGAAATGCAAATAGAAGGGAAAATGGAAGTTTGTCTTTTCTATGCTGGAGCCATTGGTGATGTAATTTAATAATACCATTTTAAAGGCAAACATTAAAATGTCAAATATACATTTTCAATGTACACAATCATGATTGGATTTCATTTGAACCTGGAATTTCAATGTGATTGAAAAACGGATTGGTATATAACAATAAAAAGAGATGGAGCAGAAAAACTAAAGTTAGACAACACATGGCTCGCAGTGATATGAACATTCATGTTTTTATTCTAGCAAAATGTATGGGAGCCTAGAACTGCCAATATAGAAATCAAATAATTTGTTCTATTTTTATGAATGATTTATCAGATTCAAATAATTATGATTGTTTTATGTTGAGATTAACAATAATTTAACTTCCTTTATACCTTGTTTCATGTGTGACACCCTTTACTTATTTGGAGCCAGTTTGTGACAAATGGTTGTCATTACATTACAGTTATTAATATAATTGTGGTTTATCTTTAATAACCCAAGGCAAACTGCAACAAGTGCTTCTACCATGCGGTTACAACCCAGAAATGTAGAGAACCATGCTAATTCATTGACTTCCTCGTCATAGCACCACCCACGAGTGAAGCCTTCATCAGCACACTCAGGTAACAATTCTTTGAAAATAAAATAAAAGTTACCAAATTTTCAGAAAATCTGAAGAAAAGTTCTGACAAAAAATGATTGAAAATCCCCAAAACGTTCTGTAAAAATGTCAGGATATATATGGCAACATTTCCCAAAATTACAAATTCCTTATGAATATCAAGTAAAATTTCCTGGTAAATTGCAGCAAGTTCTGAAACATAACCGACCGAAGTTTCCTAAATTGTGGGAGAATTCCTGAAAATATCTGAAAAAACTTTCAAAAAAAGATCCTAAACATTTCTTGGAAAAGCTCTAAGGAGAGTTCCATAAGTTTCATAAAATTTCAAACAAAAAATTCCTGA